TGGATTTGGGAGTCAGACTGCCTGCGTTGGAACCCATCCTTGCCATTTTCTAGCTGTGTAACCTTGGGCAAGTTAGTTGATGTTTCTGTGCCTCTGTTTACCCATCTGAAAAGGAAATAGTAGTACTAACTCATAGAACTGAGACTAGGGTTAAATGAGTTAATATAGCCAGACCACTTGGAACGGTGCCTGGTATGGACAAGTGTTTGCCATTAACAGATACTGTTTCAGTAGCTTGTCCTTTTGAGCCTGTGCGGAAACGCTGCCAGAGACACACCTGCCTGTCACCTCTTCCCACCACTGCTTGCTCTGGGACCCCACCTCCATTTGTCAGCCTCGCTGGATTGCCCAATAACTGTGCAGGTGTTTAGAGAACAGTGTGTGAGCACCACCTGATTCCAAAACACTCCCCCTTAGATATCTCCCAGGACTCCATCCCCAAGGATTCATGAACATGTGAAATTTGATGACGTTTCAGAGATTGGCTGACAGGCCCACCTCTCTCCTGTTGCCCTAACCACAAACTCTGGGTGTAAAGGCAACCTGGAATTTCCCCAGAACCACTGCTTAAAGGAAGGAGCTTCCAACATGTACTGAGCACCACCTGCCATCTTGTGTCATCCGACAGGGCAGGGGTCACCCTCATTTTATATGCAAGGAAATTAAAGCACAAAATGATTAAGTACTTTGCCCAAGGTCACACAGCTAGCAAGAAGATCCAAACTTTGGTTTTCTGGCCTTGCCTTCTTTGTGTTATAAAACTTTGTCCCTTCCTCTCTCTGGAAGGTCATTTAAGAGGTGGCTATGGAAGGTATGAGTCATTTACAGAGGATGTCCCATTAATAAGAGGATAACAATTGCTTGGGTAATGGAAATAGAGAATTTGCTGGTCACAGCAGTTGTGTCTTAGCTCGGGCTTCCATGACAGAATGCCATAGATGGTTGGCTTAAACAACAGACATTGATTTCTCACAGGAATGGAGGCTGAGAAATCTGAGATCGGGGGACGAGCATGGCCAGGTTCTAGTGAGGACTGTCTTCCAGACACTTGCCTCAAGTATTAGCATCCACACCTATGAATTTGATTCTCATCCATATGCGTCTGACCCCCAGCCCATGTCCTCTCCTTCATATCTCTTTCCTGAGCACCAGATCTGCATAGTTAACTGACTCCTAAACAACCACAAAAGTACCTCAAGTCAGCATGTGCAAAGCTGAGCTCATCATTCTGCACTGGGAATCTCCTCGTCTGTTGATCATTGTTGGTAACAACACCATCCACATTGTACCCTAGTCTGGAAAAGCACAATTATAGCTGTTTCTTACTGAATGCTTGTTATTTGCCAGTCACTGTGCCAAATGTTTTCCAGAGTTTTTCATTTAAGCTTCGCAAAAGCACGTGCTGTCGGCATCATCATGCCCATTCCATGAACGCAGAGACATAAGGTCAAGATGATTAAGGACTTACTTAAGGTCTCGCGGTTACTCGTGGTCAGTAACTCCCACTTTGGCTCCAAAGCCCGTGGTTCACATTAAGTCACACAGAGAAGGCACACACACAGTGCCCACAGACGTGTTTTAGTTACCAGAGAAGTGACTTATCAACATTTTAAACTAGGAGGGGTTCAAACAAGAACCCAGATTTCAGATATTTCTTGACAATTCAGAAGATTTGGCAAGGGGAACCACCTTCCAAATGGCAGCAGTGGGCTGCAGGTGGGCGGCAGCCACCCCCTTTGGAATGCATTCTGGGGGCATGCATTCTCCAGTCCGGCGCAGTCCCTACCACTCCCTGCTGTCTTACCACTGGCCCACTTCTGTTGTCAGCGCTGCCTGCCTGACTCTTTCTGGTATTGGAGTTTAAGGCTCCTGTTACCTTGTGTCCGTAGGCTCTCCCCTCTCTTTCATTCTTCCACCATCTAATGGGTCCCTGAACTGACAGTGTTGCTTGTGCAATCATTTACTGCCTGTCTCACATTCTTCATCCCTAATGCTACAAATTGTTCCTCCTAACCTCTCACCCCAATTACGCTAGTAAACACCTGCTTTTCTGCTTCCAGTCTTGATAGCCGTTAATTCACTCTCCACACTGCTTACAATTAGGGATATCAAAAACAAAACAAAACGAAACAAAACAAAAAACAGGAATAGATGATGTCCAGGGGCTTCAGAATAAAATGCAGACTCCTTATGGAGGCTTGCAAGACTGATCATGATCTGGCCTCTGACCAGGGGCCTCATTTATGTTCACTTTCCACCCTCCCCTTGACCTTATTGAAATATGGGCTCTCCTCTTCACATCTCCTTGCATATTTATTCATCTTTCTCTCTTACTTGGAATATGCTATGTGGATTATGTGAATATTTGTAATGGAGTCTACCAACATGAATCTAGAGTGATTGCCTTTCTAAAATTTGTATTTTTTTAAATTTTGACTTGATGGATGAGTCTTCGACTTCTTTTTCCATTCAGATACAAACATGAGTCCCGATTATGTTTATACATCTTAACACCTTAACTGGCCCATCACTGACTTCTGTGCTGTATTGCAGAGTAGCAAGAGATTGGGCTTAGTATCCCTGCTCTGCCATCTACTAGCTACGTAGACTTCAGCAGGCTACTTTATGTATGTTTCTGTGTCATCTGTTAAGTAGAGCTCCTAAGGGTTCTTTTATCATACAGTTACAGTGGGGTTTGGAGAAATAATGCATGGAAAGGCTTAGAACCATCTGGTGCACACCAGCCCCCAGGGGATGTCCACTATTTTTGTTACTCTTACCATTCTAATTTAATTCATTTATTCAGCATTGGATCAGGAGCTCTTTCAGGAATTTTGCTATGTATCTTTTTAGAACCCACAACGACTTTATGAAGAAAATAATTTCAGCTCTTTTCTGGATGAGGCAGCAGATTAGAGCGGTCGGGGCTTGCCTTGGTCACTGTTTGTCCCATGGTAATAAGTATTTAAGTGTCTCCTTTTCAGTCAGAGTAAAATGGAACACATCTCATGAAAGATGGAATTATATTCCTTTCCAGGCCGCGAAGGGACTCTTTGGAGAATTCAAGTGTTATTAAAAAAACTGATGTGGGACATTTTTAGTATGATTTCTAAAATTTAAAAACTACCGGGAACTTTATAAAATGTTGAATAGAATTGGATTTTGAAAAGGTTTTCTATTTCTGGATGGAAAAATACCAAGTTGATTACGCCAATTTATGAGGGATGCTTCAGACAATTAAGTCTGGGAGCTATTTTTGTTTGTTTTATATATTCACTGTGTCCTTAACAGTAACAACAGAAATTGCCAATATTGTCAGGAGTTCTGTGTGAAGATGGGTAAATACAAACTTAAATGTAGACAAGAAGGGGCGCCTGGGTGGCTTAGTCAGTTGAGTGTCTGCCTTCGGCTCAGGTCATGATCCTGGGGTCCTGGGATCGAGTCCTGCATCAGGTTCCTTGCTCAGTGAGGAGTCTGCTTCTCCCTCTCCCCCCACCATGCTTTTTCTCTCTCAAATAAATAAATAAAATCTTTAAAAAACATGTAGACAAGAAAAGTTGAAGAGAACATTGGAATGAAAACTATTAGTAAAATTATTTAACTTTGTTTCTAAAATTTGAACCATCTTCATTTCATTTTCAAGCTGCTTTTATACTGTGAAAAGAATAGGTTTTACTAAAGCATTTGAAATCCCTACATGGATACACAAGCCTACAGACCCACATATATGTATGTACACATTTTAAAATTGAGAAATACTGAAACACATATACAGAAAACAAAATAAATATCATCTACACAATTAGCACATTTAATATTTTTTTAAATTGTACCTCAGTAAGAGGTACAATTTAGATATAAATCTCATTCATTTTAGGTACATAACTCAGTGCTTTTTGTAAATGTATCACCACAATGGAATATTAGACCATTTACGTCGACCCCAAAGACTGCTCATGGCCATTCAAGGTCAGTCCCCTCTTCCTACCCAGCCCCAGGCAAGCACCAATCTATTTTCTATATCTATAGATTTGCTTTCTCTGGACATTTCTTATAAGTAGAATCACAATATGTGTTGTTTTTTAACTGCTTTCTTTCAGTAGCGTAATTTTTTTTGGGTGCATCCACAATGTAGCATGAGTGAGAACGTAGATCCCTTTTATTGATGGGTAGTACTCCATTATATAGACACACCATAGTTTGTTTATCCATTACAGTAACCAACTTAAAAAGTATATATTTAAGAAACGCTAACAGTGGCTCTTCTAGAGAGAAGAATGAGGTATAAGGGATTTGGGTGGGAGATCTTTTCATTGTTTACTATTTTATATGGGTTTATTTTTTAAATTCAAGATTATATCTTTTTTGAAGCAAAGGTAAGGAATGCCTTTCCTCCAGCAATATGTATAAAATAAGAGGACAAAGCCCTCCACTGACCCCAACCCTCCCTTCCTGAACATAATCACCATTAATTTATTTTTGGAATCTTTCTAGACTGTATGCACACACATACATATGCACATGTACACCTATAAATATATTCATGTCCCTGTATGTCTGTACATCTAAGTGGTCATATATCTTACATTTCAACAAATTGGAAGCCCAGGGCTTAATACTTTAACCGGTTCCCAAAGCTAAGAAGACCTGCCTTCCCTCTATCGTTGGGTTGTCTGTATCTGGAAACTGTTAAATGAGTTAATCACTTCACAGTGAGGAACATTTAAGAGCGGACCCAGTTTATTTATGTATTTTTAAAGATTTTATTTATTTGAGAGACAGAGGGAGAGCACAGAGGGAGAGTGAGAAGCAGACTTCCTGCTGAATGGAAAGCCCCATGCCAGGCTCGATCCCAGGACCCTGAGATCATGACCTGAGCTGAAGGCAGACGCTTAACCGACTGAGCCACCCAAATGCCCCATGGACCAAGTTTATTAGCTATGATGTGTGCACATGGTTTAATTTATTTCTTACCCGTCCCTGTCTGTGGTTTCTGGCAGGATACTTCGGCGCTGCCTGCGAGGAAAAGGTGGACCCCTGTGCCTCGTCCCCATGCCAGAACAACGGCACCTGCCACGCGGAAGGCATGCATTTCAGCTGCAGCTGCAGCTCGGGCTTCACGGGGCCAGCGTGCGCCCAGCTTGTGGACTTCTGCGCGCTCAGCCCCTGCGCGCACGGCACCTGCCACAGTGTGGGCACCAGCTATAAATGCCTCTGTGACCCAGGTTGGTACCGTCATGGGACGCAAGTCCTTGCTCTCTCCAGTCTCAGACTTTGACCTTTTGTTTTGCATCTGGGCAGATGTTGGCCCCCCAAATGTGTTCACTTGTCCGTAGGCGTGCACCCCACTTTCATGACACCCTTTCTCTTTATTCTTACTCTTGGCAGCATTTTAAAAACACCCTTTCCCCTCTCCGTGAGCAGGTCACAGTCATTATGACAAAATAAGAAAAATACAAGTAAGCAAAATAAGGAAATTAAAAACAGGCTTAATCTCCGAACAGCTTAATTATTTTTTAACGATTTACTAGAGGTCATTCCCCAGCTTTTACTGGATTGTATTTCTTTTAATACCATGTTCTTAGGTTAATGGAGTATGTTTTTCTTTTTTAATGGGCATAAAAAGCAAGACGCAGTCCATTTAGAATTTTCTCATCTATTAAAATTCTTACTCTGTGCACTGTATGTGTTATCGGACCCGTGACGCCCTCCGCAAATGTTCAGAAGTTCCATCATTTATTTCCCAAAGGTCTTCTGCGTCGTACTGATTTTTTTATTGTGTAAATTTTGAGACTCAGAAGTCACAGTGATTTCTAGTCAAAATTTGTGCCAGTGCAACCTACCTGTGTGGTCCTGAAAAGAACACACACGGGTGACTCTTTCTGGTCGCTTCTCTTCTGCCTCTGTCTCTCCCTCCTTGCACGAGCTAGCCCTTCAGAATGTGTTGAAGTACGATTCCTCACACGTGTGCCTGACCCGTCCACATGGAGGCCAGTTCCCTGGTTTTGCTGGAGTCCCGGGTCTGCTCGTGCAGTGCCTTCCACCTGGATGCCTGCTCCCCTGTCACCCTGTTTCACCTGCAGACTTCACCTGGGCCCAACACACTTTCCTCCCTCTGAATTCCAGCAGTCACCCTCGAGATCACTTGCCTGGTCTTTAAAACATTATATTAATTGTCTTTCTCCCCATTGGGGGTAGGAGGAAGTGTATTTTATTAGTAACCTTTGTGTAACCGTAATAACCCCAAACCACCATTTAGCGAGCACGAATCTTTCTAGGTTTTGAGCTGGGTGCTTCACATCTCTGGTCCTTACAGTGCCCTCCCTGCAAGCTAGATATTGCCGAGACACATTTAGGGATTGTGTCATACTTGCTTTAGTCATGTGCCTGCAGCCATACACTCAGAAGGGGGCTGAATGCAGGTGCCAACCCAGTGCCGTGGTCCTAGAACTTTCAAGGGGCACGTCTCATACTCATGATTCAATGAAGGAATTAGTAGGAAATCCAGCTAAGCATTGAGGGGTGTTGAAAACCTTTTCATGGAGACTCTTAATTCTGGGTGGCTCAGTCAGTTAAGCATCTGAGTCTTGATTTCAGCTCAGGTCATGATCTCAGGGTCGTGAGATTGAGCCCCATGTCAGGCTTTGTGGTCAGCACAGAGTCTGCTTGTCCCTCTCCTTCTGCCCCTCCCCCTGCCCATGCTCTCACTCTCTCTTAAGTAAATAAATAAAATCTAAAAAAAAAAAGATATATATATATATATATGAAGAGAGAAAGAGAGAGAGAGAAATATTGAAAGAGATTGATTTTAAGGAATTGGCTCATGTAATTGTGAGAATTGGCAAGTTCTCAATTTATAGTGCAAGATGGCAGGCTGGAAACTCAGGCAGGGTTTCCTTGTTACAGTGTTGAGCCTGAATTCCTTCTTGTGAAACCTCACTCTTTGCTGTTAGGCCTTCAACTGATTGGATGAGGCCCACCCACATTTTGGAGGGTAATCACTTTGCTCAAAGCCTACTGCTTTAAAAATGAATCTCATCTAAAAAATACCTTCACAGCAACATCTAGACTAGCGTTTGACAACATCCTTGGGTGCCGTGGCTTAGCCAAGTTAGCACATGAAATTAACGCTCACAGTGACATTTTTGGGTTTCCCATTAAACCTTGAGGTGAAGAAGTTTCTCCACCTCTCCGTCTGCCATGAGAGACTTTCCTGTGCTTACCCCCATCCTCTCCTGTCAGAGCCATGGTGCAAATGGGAATGGCTCCCCCTCCCCCGGAAGCCCAGTTTTCCACCATGCAGGGGGCAGCGTGGGTGCCGTGGAGCTGGGCGTGCAGAGACCGAGGAGCGCAGGGCACTACCCTTGCCTGTTGGGAATGAGGAGCACGAAGACCACTGTGTCTGCAAACGACGCTGCAGTGGTGCTGGGGAGAACACAGTCTCACTCACGTCATGACTCATGAGTGCGCGGCTCCCAGCGCTCTGCGTGGCAGATGCAGATGGTACGCATGGCATCGTCCCCAGCCCCCCGGCAGCCATCGGAGGCAAAATGGTGCTGTCAGGAACTTCCTCCCTGCTTCGATACAAGACTCCTGAGAGTGCTGCTTCCATCAGTGAAGGCCCACCTGTCTCCTACTCTCTCTCTCTGCACACTGGGAGGTGAGAACCAACCTGTGAGATCCCATCCCATTGACTATCACCACAGGAAACTTACAGGACTTCTCTGGACCTCAGTTTTTATATTTTTATGAAGAACATCTTAGATGCTTGTCAATTCAGCGGTAGTTGGTGTCACAGCCTAGACTGGGACAAGTTGCTGACCGTGGTCTGCTGTGTGTGAGACGTTAAATGTGGCATGTGGCACGTTTCCAGGCATGGAGTAGTAAGAGCTATTGCCCTTTCTTTCCATCCACGGACATTCCAGTATCTCTTTTCATTCTTTCTTT